AATTTTTCAAAAATTTTGCATAAATCAGTGGTTGAGAAAGCAATTAATTGTAGAGAAACTTTCTGATTCAAAATTCTTTACAGTGATGTTGACAGAAACCAGGGGTCTCAAATATAGCCAATTTTTTACTATTCAAAATCAGTGAACACCTACATGTGTCTTCTGTTGTTATTTGTAATGTTGATTGTGGTAAAATAGTGATAAATCTAAAAATAAATAAATACATTGATTAATAAACTGCACTCTGCCTGTACCTCTTTGCCATGAACAGCTTTTAAATATACATTTTAGACCAAAATCTTATCTCAAAACTACATAAAACAATATCTAGGAGCTTTTAGAGGCATTTAATGCTTCAGGCGTCTGGTTCCTTTCACTACCACTGTAAGTATTACTGACAAGTTTCTCTGAAACATTTCATATCAAACCACTCTGAATGGTTTCATAATGCATTTAGTTTGACAAAAATTGGTGGAATTCCCCTTAATATGTCATCTCAAGTAGACTTATGGTTGTTGACTGTATGACATACTGTTATTTATAAACATGGACAAAAAACCAGACAGGCTTCATTCAAATGGCCGCTGCTGTTTTCTATGGCTGTGAACTGGGATCTGCAATGAAATTCGAGTCTTTCTCCCTGTTTGTTAGGCATTCAAATATATTCAAATTTGAACTATATTTCTGTCTTTCTAGATGCAATGAAAATGAAAAAAATCACTGCAGTAAACACCATCATAAGAAAGCATGTGTAAAAGCTCACAATGTTATAAACCAATTCTCAACATGGGAGTCACAAGATGGAAAAAAGTACACATTCCTATTCTGAGATGCTGAGAATGACTATTGTATAAAATCTCCCACGGTAGTGATGTCACACTGTCAGAGTGTGGCTGCAACAGTATAAGCACACAAACACTGCAACACTGCTAAGCAACAGTGCTTAGCCAAGCAGCTAAACTGGCCCCTTATAATTAAAAAAAAACTTGATTATTAGCTTACTATGCTACAAAGCATCCACATTTGGAGTGTTGCCTTGTCTAATAAGTTTCACTCAGACACAAAATAGTAATTACTAAGCTTATTAAGCAAACAAACTGCTTTATTCAAGATACACACTGTAAGTTTTGGGGATATGGGGACCTCTCTGGTGGATATGTGTAATTGCACATAATATGTGGAAGATAATTTTGTAATTTTTGTTGGTTGTGCTTCGGACCCCTTCCTTGAGTGGATGAATCTGATAATTGAGAGTGTTGAAAGGGCATTCAAAGAGAACTCAGTCAAAATTTAATAATATTATTTTATAAATTTAAAAATTTAAACCTAATTATATGTTTACAGATTTCAATATGTTACACAGATTCATGGGGGGCAAGAGCACGAGAGAAGGTTAGAGGCCATGCTGGTAAGGAGAAGAATCATTTGGAAAGCATTTTTGGTTACAAGGTTTCGGGGCATACCGGAATGGAGAGGAAAGCAGCTGGAAAGCATTTATTTATTTATTTATTTTTTTGGAAAGTGCAGAGCATATTTTAGGAGAAGAAAGTGGTAGGAAAGCAGTTTTGTTTAGGAGAGCAGCGGCCTGGACAGAGCTCCAGGGCATGTGGTGCTGCATCATCCCCACTGATCCACCCAGCCAAAACAGATTAGGCACTCAGCATGGTCTGCTTTTCCCACGCTCTAAATCATTCATGCTACACCATGTACAATCTCATCAGTGCGAATAAATAAAACAGGTAAGGTTTAGTGAAGAAGGGTAGGTGATGGGAGGGAAAGATGGAAGAAAGGGGTGAGAAAGGGGTGAAAGATGGATAGGAAGAGGTGATGGGAGGGAAGGATGGAAGAAAGGGCTGAGCGAAAAAGAGAGTCCTTTCAACATGCACTTTCATTGTTCCACCTGACATTAATTGAAACTGATCTTGAGAGGAAAGAGGTTCGTATCCATCTGAAGAAAAAGCTGGTTAAGAAACCCACTGAAGACGTCGATTATCACATTTTCTTATCTTTGATCAGATCTATTAGATTGTGAACTGAAACTGAACCTTGATTTGGGTGTCATGACAACTAATAAAAGGATATTTGGTCACCACTTAAGTACTATTGCAGCTGGATCAGTTTTACCAGCAGGTATCGTGTCAAGGCATTTTTAAGGGATTTGGTCGATTGGTATGGGATAATGTATCTGTGTACATCCTTCAAATATCATAGCTTTGTTTTCATCAGCATTATGCCACAGAACATAACTCAACAGCAATAAGAACATGCTTCAATGCCATGTCTTATAGCAGAATTTGTTATTTATTAGCATGAGATAGGCTGGAAAAGGATTGCTATTACTGAAGGAGCACCAGGTTCAGTCAATTACAGTAGACCATTCAGTCCACGGTTGTTACTGTAGGACTGTAAAGACTACACACAATGCAGATTCATACTGGATTGTAATTACTTCACAATAATTACTATTAGACTGTAAACAACACACATATTGTAGATTCAGACTGGATTAAAATCACTCCATCATTATTATAGCAAGACTGTAAAACGTAAATACACAATGCAGATTCATACTGGATTGCAATTACTTCACAAGCATTACTACCAGACCTTAAAAAACACACATATTGTAGATCCACACTGGATTAAAATCATTCCATAATTATTATAGCAAGACTGTAAAAACTGAACACACAATGCAGATTCATACTGGATTGCAATTACTCCACAGTTATTACTATCAGACTGTAAAAAACACACATATTGTAGATTCATACTGGATTAAAATCACTTGACAATTATTACTATCAGATTGTAAAAGCCACACATATTGCAGATTCATACTGGATTAAAATCACTCCACAGTTATTACTGTAAGATTGTAAAATCTACACACAATGCAGATTCATACTGGATTAAAATCACTCCACAGTTATTACTATCAGACTGTAAAATCTACCTACACTCCAGATTCATACTGGATTTAAATCACTCCATAATTATTTCGGAAAGACTGTAAAACTACACACAATGCAGATTCATACCGGATTAAAATCACTTCACAAATATTACTGTCAGACTGTTAAAACTACATGCACTGCAGATTCATACTGGAGTAAATTAACTCCATAATATATATTACAACACGAACCATAGAACCGATCTAACAATTACAACCTTGCTCAAAGTTCTAGTGAGAAAAGTACTGGAACTGATCCTAGTTGCAATGTACACCTCAAGTTTCAAGCCTCTGCAACATTTGTAACAGCTTATCCTCATCTCACAGCATATTGCGTGAGACAAAAATACATCGGGAGTTGTGATGCAACCTCAATGAAGCTCCATGTCCTCTCTCCCATAATAAATGAGTAATTGACCATGAGTGGTCATAAAGAGACATGACAGCTTATGACACACCGAGGCATTATAATACCCCTGTCTCTGACACGTCATTATATCCATGTCAAATGAAGGTTCTCCGCTCATTATTTCAGACAGAGGAGCATGTAATGCCACTCCTCAGCCACTTATTGGCCTGTTCTGGTAACTCTGCTCCTTTTACACCATGACAGGAACTAGCCTCCACTCATCCATACCATAATCACACTATCCAACCAGCATCTCCAATTTTCACTGGGACAACGGCTGTATAATCAACTGATGACATGAATAACTTGAGAGATTTTTAAAAGGCATTAACCATGCGAGATGAGGAGGAGGAATGACTAACATTTGCACTTTTTTAAAAGCTAATCACAGGGAGGTAGACTTGAGAAAGCAAAACAGGGTGAAGGCGATATGATGGAAAACTTGCCTGGTCTGTCTGGTAGCTAAAACTGCTTTATGACTATAAGCACATAAAAGTACGAGGAGATATGGTACATCACATCAACACCAATTAATGCTGAAAACAGAAACGGAGCTGAAATGTAATCAAGATGATAAGACAAAATGCCAGGAAAATGCATGTGATTGCACCATACATTACTGTGAAAAGGTTACCAAAAGGCACGGCTTGTGGGTGAGGGTCTTGGACAGCCCTGTAATATTGGAAGGCCTTGGTTTTGCTCAGTGCTGTGAGCATTGTTTTCATTAGCAGTAGACACTGAAACCTTTTTTTGACAGTTCTCTAGCAGTGGTAGTGTTAGCCAATTGCAACTGTTGATGCTTTTTCCTCCACAACAGATACTCTTTTAAACCAGTTGTATTGAGACTGTGTAGTTGTCTGAAACCAAGACCAAGAACACCTGTGCCAAGACCAAAATCCAGCCCAAGATCAAGAACATCTGGGCCAAAACCTAAGACCTAAGACCAGACCAAGACTAAGAACATCTAGGTCAAAACCAAAAGCAAGACCAAGACCAAAGAACATCTGGGCCAAGAATAAAGGCAGGCAGAGGCAAAGGTTGGTATAGAATAATGAGTAATACCACTGGCATCCATGCAGCAGAGTGGGGTTTAGTTCCCCACCCAGGCAAGGACACCGTGCTGTACTAATAAGAGTCCTTGGCAAGACTCCTACTGCTACATATGCTTACCTCTTTAATATGATTATTTAATAGCTGCTCTGTATAAGAGTGTCTAGCGAATAAATAAATGTAAACGCAAGAACACCTGGGCCAAGAACACTTGAGCCAAGACCAATACCCAGAGCATATGTTTACTACAGTGGTTCCCAGCTCAGTCTTCATGGCCCTCCAGAAAGTCCACATTTTTTCTTCATCCCTAAGTGTTGTGAATTGGGTTGGACCAAAAATGTGAAATCTGTGGGGCCATGAGGACTGGGTTGGGAACCACTGCTTTACTATGTTTATTCGACCAAGGAGATTAAGCTTCTATCTTTTGGACCATTTATCCAAATTGGATTTTTGCTTAAATCCCAGAAACAGCCTTTAAAAAGAACATATCTTACAAATCCAGTTAAGGAAATTTGAAAAACTGGATCCTGGTCCTCTGCATGCTATTGGCATGTTGTGTCACCATGTTATCGCTGATATACTCACCGGAGCACTGTTGGTGTTGGTGGTGATGGTTGGCGTGTTGCTGTCGTTGGTTGTTGGGTCGCTGTGTGTTTGTGTGGGTGTGTAGAGGGTCAGGGTGTGTTCTGGTACCCGGTTCTGTCCTGTGAAGTCCTGTGTGGGAAGGGCGTGGGGTGCAGCAAACTCGCCCGGAATACCGTTCTGTGGGGGTGGGGGAAACTGAGCCGGGGTGTAGGACTGAGCCATCGCGTCCACCGGATTGGTTGCCTCTTGGTTACCCTGAAAACAGAACAATACGTTAACAACAGGGGGCAGGGACAGGTGCAAGTCTGCTAGTTCCATGGGGCTGTTCCTGCAACCCTGTACATATAAGAGTTTCCTCTTCAGAGCTCAAGATCACTATGTACACCTGGAGAACATTTCACCCAGATTTCCCTGCGGATCTCTCTCACTAAGGAGAATTCTTTCAGTTTTGACGAAATGACTAAATCAGAAATAAACGTGTGTTAGAATCATCCAACATGAAGCACCAATACAAGCAGGTATGACAGTTATGGGAACTCATACCTGATAGAACAGGTTTCTGGTGCACACTTCCCTACAGAGTGACCAAGAACCTTGCAGTGCCAGAGCTTTTGGCCTACAGGTGTAGGTATGAAAACATATCAGAAAACAGGTCTTCCTATCTGCATTGTTACAACTGGGAAATTAATGTATGGATTATCTTTGGTGTTGGTACATTCAAAGAACACAACACATACAGTATCTGGAGCGATGAGGTGGTTTGCTGTACTGTGCCTTTTTCAAACTTGGCTCAGTTAAAGCAATCAGGGAGCCGCACTGTCTTGTGCTTTAAAGAAAGCAGCAATCAGAGCAAGCCTCACAGACAATTAGCAAAACCCTTGATCAGCATTAAAGAACAGAGTTTGTAGAGAAGAACAGTGCTCACTGGAGTAAGACCAGCCACCATGGGGAATCTCATTAGCTTTTAGGCGATCATGAGATGAGACACCTCTCTGACTGTTCCCTTTGATTCTTATGAAAAGTTTGATCATGCTAACAGCCTTTAGACTGTGGAGCGGACTTCTTATACAAATTGTATTCTCCTATTCTTATGTATGGATTATAGAGTGAACTTTGTTTAATGAGAAATTATTGGTATTGGCCACAACAAGGTCTTAATTGTTGGCTATCATTAACAGCCCAGAAGAAAAATATACAAGAAATAGATACACTGAGTCGAATCAAATGGTCTTTCCTTCCTTTCTCTCTCTCTGTAGTAAATGATATTTAAAGCACTGGTCTCAATATTACCATGCTTCTGACCCCAGGGTCAAAGGATCGAATGAGGAAGGAAGTGAGAGTGGAAGAAAAGCAGGATGTGCAGGACAGAACATGACAGGGTCTTCTGATATTGAAATAATGGACGCTTTTCTTCGCTGCTGATTGTGAAGTCAAGCAATAGCTGGTGCTGGGGCATGCAGGAGTGCATGTCCTGATATTCTACTACACTGAAGCCAGAGACAAGAGATCCTGCTGTGTGTGTGTGTGTGTTCTCTTACAGTTTCAGGACTAAAATATCTAAAGTATGTAGGAAAATCTGAGAAAAACAACTGATAAATATATATATATATATATATATATATATATATATATATATATATATATATATATATATATATATATACATACAGTGAAAAGTGGCACTGACCACTGCAGAAATCACACCAGCTGCAAAACAAAGTAATTTTTTCCTGTCAATGCAGATGATTGGTTGCCTGTATTAAATGGTTTTGACAGCAATGTTTACAGTAGTTCTCTGGAAGTAAAATAACATATTTGTTAATGTGCTTTTCATCCAAAGTGTATTCAGATTCAATCCAGACATGAAACACATGTAAACACAAGGTATAAACAAGCTCACTGATTCTAAACTTCTGAACTGTGGTGTATGACCTCACATCCTGACAAGGCATAAAAACAGACGTGGGTGTGTCGGGGGAGTGATAACTACAGGCAGGGGCGACACACATAAGCTCTTAATGCCCCACTCCTGAAGAGAGGGAGGGTGGTGAGACACTATTACTGCAACAATCCAATAACACATTCCACACATCTCTCAAATCTAATTTCCACATCCACATCAGCGCAGGCAGACGCGTAATCCTTTCAGCAGGAAATACAGCTTGTAGCTGAGGATGAACAAGAACAAGAGCAATAAACAGATAAAGTGGCCAGCATCTTCACTTCCTGCCATCCAGAAAGAGAGAAGGAGAGGGAGGCACACTCATAGTATAAATGCAATACAGTATAAATACAGTAGCAGCACTACTTTCTAATATACTGTATATAGTGAAAATTCAAGCATACACAAAGGTTTGGGTGTTCTTGGTCAAATTGCATGTCTGGTTGATATTTTAAGTGAAAATAAGCTTGCACATTGTCTACAGAGAACACATTCAGATGTGACATTTTTCTGCAAATTTTAGTGCACAATATCTGTTTATTTGCTGAGTTTAACATATTGGAAAAAATAAAACAAAATGTGCCATTACTTTTGCACAGTCCATTTTTGCAAATGTAGTGCACAGTTTCTATTTATTTGCTTAACAAGTTTAACATATTCGAAATAGTTATAATTTATTTTTACATAAGCATTTTCCAACTTCTAATTATCTCTTAGAATTAAACGGGATGTTTTTGTTACTGTTCCTTTAAGACTGGTATATGTAAATGAGTTCTAAAAATTCCTTATTACTTCGGTGTGAATGGGTGGGGCTACACTGATGTAGGTCTAAAGTGTGCATGCATGTATGTAGACATTATAAAAACAGTAAAATCAAAACTGTTTTTTGCAGTTTAGTTGCCATATATGGACTGCATGCACTTGGGAGTGAACAGTATGTTTTAAAACTTTAACAATGTTTACATAATACATCACACTCTTTAATTTAAAAAAAGAGGGAGAGATGAATTATGTTTTTTTATTGAGTTTGAGTTAAATAAAGTCGAATTGTGTTAAGATGAGTTGAATGTACTTAAGTTGAACGGAAGTGGGTTGAGTTGAGCGGAGCCAAGTTGGACTGGACTGAGATGAGTTTGAGTGAGTTGAATGGAGTGGCGCTGATCTTAACTGAACTGGGCTGAGTTGAGTTGAATGAAGATGAGATTATCTGAGCTGAATGAGTTTGAGTTTAGTTGAGCTGAATGGAGTTGAGCTGAGCTAAGTTGAATGGGGTTCAATTTAGTTGAGTTGAATGGAGTTGAGCTGAGCTGAGTTAAATAGGGTTCAGTTTAGTTCAATTGAATGGAGTTGAGTTGAATGGGGTTCGGTTTAGTCGAGTAGAATGGAGTTGAGTTGAGCTGAGTTGAGTTGAATGGGGTTCAGTTTAGTTGAGTTGAATGGAGTTGAGCTGAATGGGGCTCAGTTTAGTTGAGTTGAATAGAGTTGAGCTGAGCTGAGCTGAATGGGGTTCAGTTGAGTTAAAAGGAATAGAGCTGAACTGAGCTGAACTGGATTGAGTTTAATAGAGTTGAATTGAGTGGAGCTGATCTGAGCTGAATTGGGTTGAATTGAGTTTAGCTGAGTGGAACTGGGTTGATTGGAATTGGGTTAAGAGTTGAGTTGAACAGAGTTGAATTGGGTTGAATTGAGTTTAGTTGAGTTAAATGGAGCTGAGCTGAGCTTAATTGGGCTGAGTTGATTTGAATGGAGCTGAATTGGGCTGAGCTGCCTGGAGCTGGACTGAGCTAATTTGGATTGAGATAAGTTTATGTTGAGTTGAAGGGAGCTGAATGGAGCTGAGCTGAGTTGAACTGAGTTAATTTGCAGCAAAGTTAATTGAAAGTAAAGTTGAGTTGATTTGAAGTGAGTTGAATTGATTTTTTTAATTGAATTGATCTTAAGTTGAACTGAGATTAACAGAATTGAGCTGAGCAGAGCTGAATTGTGAACTGAGGTAGTAAACACACAGTGGAAAGGGGATGTACTATATCTGTTTTCTCTTCATCATTTTTGTTTTTCTCTTTTCTGCTGCTCGCTTCCTGCCTCATTCTGTCCCCTGGCTCAAGGACTGTTTGTGTCTTAATGAGTGATACTGAGAACTGGATGCTTCTTAAACGGGGTGGAAACAGAACTGCGCTAACACACGGAAACAAAGCGGCCGCGGCTATCCCCAATTAAAGAACAGCCTCCAGCTCGACATGGAACGGCACTCATCTTCAGATTCACACAATCCTTCTCTCTCTTTTTCTTCTGCTCGTCTCTCATCGCTCAGCTCTTTCTCTCTCTCTTTGTGAGTTTTTGTGCTCTCAGTTTATTCTCTTTTTTTGTCTCTCATTGTCTCGACACACACTCCCTCTCTCTTTCTGCATGACCTCAGTTTCCCCCTCTCTCGCTCTTCTTTCTTCTTTTTTCTTCAGTGCCTTTAAAGCTTTTATGAGCCAACTTTTTTAGTCTTCCCTGCTCGCTCGCTCCTTCCTCATCTCTCTCTCTCTCTCTCTCTCTCTGTCTCTCTCTTTTTCTCTTTCTCTCTCTCATGTGTTTGTGTAATTCTTGCATTGAGGTCAGTCACCAGTGGCCACAAACTGAGCTCCAGTGTCTTTAATCCCTTTGAGAAGAAAAAAAAAATATATTCTAAAAATGTTCCAGCAACATCTTTGAAACATCTATGCAATGTCTAAAGAGCCTCAAAAAAGACACAGAAGAGAGGACATGGAGTACAGAGACACAGCACACAGAAAAACGCACTTCAAGTCAAGACACATTTATCCTCTCAGAGCACTTTCAGCCCCAGCAACGCACTGGTATTCAGACAGATGGTATTAGAGTAGACACTCAGCAATCTAAACTGATTCTGAAGTAAAGGTACACATGTGTATGAAGTTAGGACTATACACTGAAGGAAATATTATCGTTGCTTAAATGTGAGTCACAGAATGCTAGCCTGTACTCATCCAACAGATGTGCTCAGATACAATGTCTATATAAACTTATATGATCAAAAGAATAAAATACAGATATAAGAACTGAAATTCTCTGTGCTCTGACTTAAAACTGCCTTTAGGAGTGCTGGAGGAGAAGAGGAATAAGCTTTAGTTAGACATATATACATGTGCATATACATATACATACACCAAGTGGATATATAGTCCCTATATATATATATATATATATATATACAGTCCCTATAGGCAGGTTGAATGTTATGAGCGTTCCCATTCAAATTTCAACCAGTGGCCGATCTGCTCATTTACAATGTCTCTGATGTAAACAGCGA